TATATACTTCTATTAATTGCAACATTAAAATTAAAGAAATGGATTTAATTCGTGTTCCCTCTATAACCATTCGGCTCAGGAAATTCCAGGAGTCCATGAAATAAATCCATGGAGTCCAAACAATAGTAGCCAAAGTAACAGATAATAATGGCACGGTAATATTTTGGCCTCACCGTATTGTCTCCCACATAACAGGAAGTGGCGCCCAAGTGGATGATGGGAGCAGCGGTGGGACAGCAGTGAGCAAACGTGTGCACATGAGCCATGACATCATGCCTCAACTTCCTCTCCTCCTCCGCAGCCATGACGAAATCAATGTCCTCCAAGTGAGACTCCATCTCGCTCACCTGGGCATCGGTTATGGAGAGACCCAATTCCTGCAGAGAGGATATATTAGAGCGATAAAGAGATAGTTATGATGAAGCTAGCGAAATATCTTTTCAGTATCATCTTTATTTAATTGTGCGTTCTCATGTCTATTATTTATGTTACATTTAACACCATCTAGCACTCGCTTAAAGTTAATCTTTAGAAACATCATTTAGTAAGACTGTTAAATGGAATTTGTAGCAAATCGCAAAATAAATATCTATTTCAATATTTTAATTACTTTTAGCCTATACATAACTGATTTTATTTTTTTAGGATTTTTAAATTCTAATAATATTTTTATAAAAACAAATTGTAAAGTAAATGTTTTCTCATAATATTAGCCAAATCTGCAATATCTGTGCAACATTAGAAAATGGTTGACAGTAAACCGAAATAAGCACATTCACTTCATCTTTAGCAATACACAGACAGAGAGAGGGTAAAGGTCAACTCTCAAGAGCCACTCTCCTGTTACCCTGATATTAACATTAGTTATTTTGGAAATACACTCTTTCCCAGGGCTGTCTGTGCCTCCTCAGTGTGTCCTGAGGACTACATCAGTAAAGTTCTGTAGCGTAACTTTATTTCCAGAGCATGATCATACGAGCAGCGAACAGAATCCTGTCAGTCTCCACAGGTCAGAGAATGACCACCATGTGACCACATGACTCTGTTCAATTAAGTGCTAGTCAAACAGACTGTGGCCTTTATTTGGAGCTTTATGGATTACTGGGTGATCACACAATCTTAGTTCTTGATTTCTTTACACAAATCAAACAAACAATCAATATGACAGTCGACCCATGTCAGCTAAACAAGCAAATTTCACCGTTCTACAGTCAATAATATCCATTTCTAATCAAGTCGACTATTGTTAGTCTCAGCAACTGAATATCTGTTATCTGAATTTGAGGGTTTTCTTCTAATACTAGTCCCAACATTATCTTCTAAATGGCTTACTGGGAACTTAAGGTTTGAGAAATCCAGTGACATTTAACCTGCCACATACAGAGCCACATACACATATTGAGACCCAGTTTATAGGTGTAAAATAGAAAGATATAAAAATGCATGCAAAATAAACCTACTACAATAAACATACTACATACAAAAATACAATAGTGCAAATAATCATACTGCTGTAGTTTTAGACACATTGCTATGGTAATATATTATACTTGTTCCATAGTAAAGCCATGAATAGAAGTACATTGGACTAGCATGTACAAAATACCATCGTACATAATTATAGCAACATTCATAATTATAGCAACCATGATGTGATATTGCACCACTTACCAGGTGATATTGTTGTTTCTGTTCATATACAATGCAAGCACCATGGTATTCTTGGAAAAACCTTACAGCATGGCACATACACTTCAGTACTATCATATATATTACAGTACTACAATACTACCACGTAATACCATCAATGTACTATGGTATCACCTCAGGACTTTTTGTCTGGTCCACTTGTAAAACATGAAATATTGCAACACAACTCATGTCCACCCTTTTAAACTATTTTTAGACTAAGAGAGCTGGCAACTTGAGACATCCACTCACTCAAGGTCAAAAACCTAAGACAGAGTCGTACTTGGCATTCAGAGAATCACAGGGCCAACGTAATTACTCCATAGATAGTCTGTAGAAATAAACCCAAAATAAATAAACTGACCTTTTCGGCCCTAGCGAGGTAAAGCCACAGTCTTCTCCATGTGGTGAATTTTTTCCTGTCGCTGAAGTTGTGGGCCATCTCTTTGCTGGCGTACCGGGACACCAGCGGTGAGCGGTA